GTAAGACCACTTAAGTTATATTGTGACAATAAGTTTGCAGTTTTATATTCCAATAACAACAGGAGCTCGACAAAATCAAAGCATATTGATATCAAGTTCCTAGTTGTAAAAGAAAGAGTGCTGAGTGGACAGATTTCCATAGAGCATATTGGGACAAACTCCATGATAGCACTTACGAAGGGACTACCATCCAAGGTCTTTCATGAGCACGCTGCTCAGATGGGTGTTGTTTTATTTGAGAACATTCTGGTTTAGTGGGAGTTTGTATTTATATTACTGCTTTATGTCAGCCTTGAGTTTTATTTATGTAATTAGATTAATTTCTGCATAAATGAAGTATTCTACAAAGGAAGCATCACCAAGATCTTTCATTTCAAAATTCTTAGATAGAAATCTCTTGGTGTCATGCAATAAGTTTATATCGTTTGTGGCAAGCAATATGTCGTCAACATATAAAACCAAAAATATGTGTTTACTCCCACTGAACTTGTGATACACACATTCATCAACAACGTTAGTTTCAAAACCATACGAAGTGAGAACTTGATGAAATTTGAAGTAGCACTGACGAGAAGCTTGTCTGAGTCCATATATGGATTTAGTCAATTTGCAAACCATATTCTTTGGGTCTCCTGACACAAAGTTTTCTGGCTGCACCATATAAATTGTTTCTTTAATGTCACCATTAAGAAAAGCTGTTTTGATTCTTGAGAGGATTTAGAAAAACAAAACAACAGTGTTCTTATCTTTCACCTTGGGAAGGAATAGGGACCATAACTTTTTAAAGGTTGTAATTGGTTTTCATAACTGAAAGGTAATGAAAACCAATAAATTAGCCATTATTGGTTTAAAACTGAAAGGTAATGAAAACCAATAAATTAACCATTATTGGTTTTAAAACTGAAAGGTAATGAAAACCAATAAATTAACCATAATTGGTTTTAAAACTGAAAGGTAATGAAAACCAATAAGTTAACCATTATTGGTTTTAAAACTGAAAGGTAATGAAAACCAACTTTAACCAATATGTTTTAATTTCTATTTCTGCCCCTCATAGAAATAGAAATTATACAACTAGTATCTACACATTAGGTCCATAACACATATACCCTTAAGCCTATTAACTAAATTGAATCACTTAAATTGTAGGCTTCTTATAAATGATAACACCACATTTAATTATGTGGTCCCATTGAGACATTATCTAACAACGCGAGTCTTCACTCTCTCTCACTTTCACTTCAAGGGTAAAAGTTATAGAGAGAGAGAGAGAGAGAGAGAGAGAAAAAAGCATATTATTATGTACATTTTTTCAAAGGACTTATTGAATTCAAGTCCACCAACACCTTCATTGCCATAAAAAGACCTTCGAATCTCTTAGTTCAATTATAATATCATCAACTTGGAATCTCTCGGTCCAATTACAATATCATCAACTTCATGGTTCACATTAACACTTAATCCATCGAAATCAGTATCGATTGACGATGCTTTGTATTGAAAGTCTTGGTTTCGAACCAAAATTCACATTCTACACAAAACTCTCAAACCCTAACTGACACTGCTGAAGTTGTGGCTTCACTACATTCGGATTATTCCGATCACGCTCGATTTGGAGAGAGAGTTGAGTGGTTTTGTGGTGAGGGATCTTAAACTACAAAATATAATATTGTGGACCTTTCCTACTATCAAAAGTTAGAGTGGGATGTTAGACTAATTTTCTCTTTAAATTATGATTAAATATCACTTAAAACCTAATTAAATATTTTTTTAATCACAATCACCATATCAATCACAATAAAAAGTACTTATTATTAGGCCTCAATCTAATGGGATTTTTTTTTTAACTTAAAAAAATGATATCATGAGGTGTCATCATTGTATTTGTGGGCATAGGTCTCGGAATAATCGATTGCCGGCATGATTTTACCTAACCTATAAGAAATGACTCATCACCGAGACATCAATGAAACTCAACCATATGCTACAGACGAGATCAAGTGTCAAGCGGAGTTTATGGCGATATCTTCGAAGAGAGCCATCTGTGAAGCAGCGAATTTCGCCCTTCCAAGATTTAAATATGAATCATGCTTGTGGAGAGAGATGCCTTTTCGAGTATGCCACCACCTTCATTGGTAATCCAATGGGAGTTTGGTACCTCTCCGTGGTTTGGTTTGAGAGGTTCATACAAGTTTAATAATTAAAATATTTATAATTAATTTTATTTAATAAAAATAAAAATATAATTTAAATTAAAAATAAAAATAAATAAATAAAATTTAAATTTAAATTTAAAGTGATAAAATTAAAATTTTAAACTTTATTTTGTTATAATGTGTAAAATAGTTATTATTTTTTTTATTTTTTTAAACTTTTAAAAATATATTTTTTTTTGAAAAAAGGTGAAAAAGGAAAAATACCAATCACCTTATTTGGTTCTAATTTTTCAAATTTATTTTTTTTAAAAAAATTGAATTTTTATTTTTCGTATTTTTTATTCTTAGTAATTTTTTTAATATTTCAAATTTTTATTTTTTACCTTTTAGATATATCTAAAAGGTAAAATATTTATAAAAATAATAAATACACAAGAATGAATTTTTATAGTTTTATAAAAAATTTATCATTTAACAAAATTTTTAAAGATTTTTTTCACAAATATTACTATATTTTTTAATTATATTTATATTAAAAGTGTATTTAAAAACTTAAAAAAATATTGAAAATATTAAAAAAATTAAGTACAAAACAAAAAAATACAAAAAAAATAAAAAAATTTCAATTTTCAGATAATTATTCGGGCGACGTTGGATCAAACATTTACCTACCCAAAAAAAAAAAAAACGTTGGAACAAACAGAGAGTTATGATCGAAGGAAGTGGTTCCCCAAGACTCGCACACACAATTCACTCTCCTTTCCTTTCTCTCTGCTCTGCTTCAATTGCTCCGTCATAGTCATAGATCCCCCAAGAATCCTCCAACTTCAAACCTCCACCCTCATCGAACCGGAATTCGTAGGCCCATCAAGGGACCAAGTCACCGGAAACTTAATCAGATCGCTCTAAAATCGTCGAACTCTGAAGAATTCGAAGTGAGGGTCCAATGCTGATTCTAATTATGCCCTAGTGGGCCTGAATTGAATGCAATCATCGACTGGTAGTTTATTTCGAGCTGTGGATCTCTCTACATTTACTTGTATGTGAAGAAGAAGAAGAAGAGGTAAAAGAAAATGTTGCGTTTAAGGGCTTTTCGTCCCACGAGCGATAAGATTGTGAAGATTCAACTCCATCCCACGCATCCCTGGCTTGTTACCGCTGATGCCTCCGATCGCGTCTCCGTTTGGAATTGGGAACACCGCCAGGTTCTTCCTACTTTCAATTTTATTTTTTTATATGTTTTTTATTTGATATACCCAATTATACACTGTGGTTTGATTCAATTTTGCTTATTGTTTGTTTGTTTGTTTTGTGTTCACCAGGTGATATATGAGCTGAAAGCTGGTGGTGTTGATGAGAGGCGCTTGGTGGGTGCCAAGTTGGAGAAGCTTGCTGAGGGCGAAACGGGTGTGAGAGTCTTTTCATTTTCTTTTCAATACATAGGCTTGTTTGTATAGCATATGGGTATGTATGTATTTGCCATGGGAGATATGAATGATCAGCTGATATGTTGCTTTGCTGGTGGTTGTGCCTTAATACTTTTTCTGAAGCTAGTTAAGTCTTTACATATTCCCACTTTTGTGTATTTACCAAATGATTATGCATCATAAGCTCTATGTTACTCTATTAACATCATTTTACCCTAGGAAATAAAGAAGAATAAAATATGATTTTTTTTGTTTTTTTGATAAATAATAAAATATGAATATCTAAATTATGTCCTGATGTCCTTGAACATAGGAATTAGAAGAATCAGACTCTTAGACGGATACTTGATATACGTGAGTTTATGTAAAATAGGGATTAAACAATAGTGATGAAACTATAGTGGTTTAGTTACCAAGGCCCCATTCTCATGATACTTAGCACACATGGCAACCCCTTGACAAATGGTGGCTTGGTTAGGATAGCTGAAATATTCAATTTTTCAAGGACCCTTTTCGGGGCAGGGTCAGAGTGGGGTGGCCAAATCTTGTCCCCATCTTAAACCCAATGTAGGTTAACCCCTTTAATCCCATTACCACCCCTATCCCGGTTTGAAAGATTCAATCATTGGCTCAATAGGGGTGGATTGGTGTGGGTCCCCAACATTTTGTGGCAAATTGCTGTCCCTGTATGTAGTTGGTTGTTAATAATGCATTTTCACACATTCAAACACGTATGCATTCATTTATTGATATGGTGAGAGAAGTATTTGCTAGCGTTTTCTTCTGACATGTTGTTTGTACCGTAGATTCGAAAGGGAAACCTACGGAAGCCATGCGGGGAGGGAGGTAATGGATCTATGCTTTTGCCTTCTGATATATTTGACAGTTTCTCTGTGGGTTTTTTTTTGAAACCTGAACCTGCCATTGGGCTGCATGGTTCAAGTGTTAAGCAGGTTAGCTTTTATGATGATGATGTATGCTTTTGGCAACTCTGGCGCAACCGTTCTGCTGCTGCCGAGGCTCCATCAGCAGTCAATAATGTCACTTCAGCTTTTAATTCTCCCGCTCCATCAACAAAAGGAAGGCATTTTCTTGTCATTTGTTGTGAAAACAAAGCAATTTTTTTAGACTTGGTGACAATGCGTGGCCGTGATGTACCAAAGCAGGACCTCGACAATAGATCACTTCTCTGGCAAGTCCTCATTATATTATATATGATATTTAATTGCTGTTTTTGTTGTTGTTGTTAGACTTGGAAAATAAATGCAGTATCTTAGTAGTGCTATTGTGATGTCTGTATTGCTGAACTGTAGTCAACTATCTTTGACAAATTGATTCCTAGGATCTTAGTTAGACAGGTCAGGTTTATAGTACTTAAGTGAGATCTGAAGTCTTTTTTTCACTTGATTTGTTATTTATGTATCACATGCTTTCTAGATGGCCTGGACAAAATTCTTCTTCTCTGAGCATTATGTTGTGCATTTACTGGTCCTATAATTTGCTGCTGCAGTATGGAGTTCCTTTCAAGAACCTCTGCTGGGGATGGTCCTCTTGTGGCTTTCGGGGGATCAGATGGCATAATTCGAGTTCTTTCAATGATAACATGGAAGGTATTTTTTCCTCCTATTATATTTTGCTTTTGGTCTATCAGCTTTATTTCAATTACTTGCATTGTGCAATAATCGTTTTATTTTATTTTTTATTTTTTGCAGCTTGTTCGAAGGTACACAGGAGGTCATAAAGGATCAATTTCTTGCTTGATGACCTTTATGGCTTCCTCTGGCGAGGTAGCTTTTCAATTATCTAAAAATTTGAATTTATGCTGTCTATAGTTTATGTTTGTCATTAATACATTTGCTTTAGACATTTTAACTTGAGAATCTGAGTGTGTGTGTTGTCGTTCTTTTTGTACTATATGAATTTAGGGATGAAGGGCTTCCAAATTTTTTCACATACAATTATGGTTAGATTTGATTTGTGATGAAGTTTGCATTAGGTATATGTTTTACAACAATGCTAGAGACCCATATTTTACACCCACAAATGCATCCACAGTGATGTGGCAAGGGTAGCAGGTCCCATATCATTGAGTGTCTAACCAATCAAAAATTGACGCTTATCAAATGACAACATGGTGGGTTGAATTGTGGGAATTTTAGGGGTCAAACTTTTTCCTTTGTTTTAAGCTTCCCTTGGTTGCACTGTTGCACCTGTAATTCTTTATGCCATGGCCATTTGTCTCAATGTCTCTCTCTTAGTGTGTCTATGTGTGTGGAGGGAGGAATTCTAAATGCCAAATGGTGAGTTGGGGCATGGCTTATTAATTGAGGATGTGGACATCGAGTTAGTTGATACCATAAAAATATGGAGATTGGAGTCTTTCGATGTACTGGGTCTGTATGCATCTGGAATCAAAACAGCTTGTTTGGTTTGGATTTTCAGGATTCATTTTTCAGAAAATTGAAATTTTTTGTTTTCTGTATTTTTTTTTTGGTTTTTACTGGATTTTTTTAATATTCTAAGCAATTTTTTTTTTTAATTTTTAGATACACCTAATGTAAATACACTTAAAAAGTATAATATTTGTGAAAAAAAATCTTTAGAAAATTCACTAAATACCAAAAATTCAAAAAAATACAAGAATTCAGTACATTTTTTTTGTATTCCTATGTATTTATTGATTTTTTAAAATATTTTTTTTATAAATATTTTACTTTTTAGATATATCTAAGTAAGGTGCATCTAAAAGAGTAAAAATTTTTTAAAATATTCATTAAAAAAAAAAAAAAAAAACACAAAAAACAAAAAACTCAATTTTCAGAAAATTGAAACCAAACATAGCATTTCAAAAACCACCCAAGGGCGTTGGCTTGGTGATGGGGGCCTTACTCTCATATGGTTTGGTGACCAGGAAGGAGGACATGGGCTTGAGTCGTTGGGGCAACGCAAGACTCTTACCTATTAATCCCGGTCCACCAACTCCTTGCCACTATGCCCTTGGTGGGGTTGGGGTAGGCTATGGCTCAAGCTCGACTTGAGGGAGCGCTTGCAGATTCCTCATGTTGCGGTAACCCGGCCCATCTTGTCTCCTCTTGTATGGTTCCTTAGTGCGTAGGGGATCCTTTGGTCACATCTGTGAAGGGTTGCCATGCACTGGTCACCCCCTCCTACCTTCTTTTACGCAGAAAAAGAAGAGTATTTCAAAAAGCTATGATTTCAAGATTGGGTTGAAGTCAACAAGACAATTGATACGGGGTGAAGGTTGGGTTGGAGGCTAGTTGTGGTACATGTGGGGACATCTCTATATGTGTATCTCTGACCTATAAAATGTGGCTGCAGATAGGATGTCATGGTGATCCTAGTGAGTGGGAGATGATTTGGTAGGGGAGTCTCTGGTGAGATTGTATAATTCCACTGTGAGCTAGCTGAATGATTTCAACTGACATCTGTTAAGCAAATTAGGATTATTTCTTGTAATATCCTTCTACAAATCTTTGATCTGCAGCACAATGATTTGTTATTGTTGACAAGGATGACCCCAAAAGTTAAATCCCAAGGACCTTTGTCTATGTGGTTTGGAGATCTTTATCAAGTATGCTAGATATTAAATTTTCTTTGGTACTTGTATTAACATACAAAGTCCTCATGTATATACAATGTCGTGCATGAAAGATGTGTGCATCATTCCATGTGTGTTTATTAGCTTTTTCATAGTATATGTATATTGCTTTTATGGGCTAATAACAATTTCCGTGTTCCTTTAGGAATTAAGAATATGCTTCAATTTGGCCAATTGCCATCTAATTTTTACAACTGAGCAGTCACGATGGGGCTATCATTTTCTTTGAGATATTTTATACTGCATTTTATTTGATGAGGAACCTAGCTTTTAGTTGGTTGATAACATGAACAGACCCCACATCCTTATTTTCACAATTATTTATTCTAAATGCCTATTTATTTTCGCAATTATTTATTTTGAGTTAAGTATTAGCAAATATCTATTAGGTTAATTGTAGTTGGGGTTAAGGGCTGTATTGGATTGAGGAATTAGAGTTGTTCTTCGTCCATAAAGGAATCAAGTTTGATACTCAAGAAATTATTTATTATTGGGAAATATTGGGCTCGTTTGGTTTGATTTTCTGAAAAAAATTTGAGAAATTTTCTCTACAAATAAGTTTTCAAAAATAACCAAACCAAACAAATTTTCCCAAAACTTGTAAACCAAACAAGTTTTCCAAACAAATCTCTCTCTCACACACATCAAATCAATCACTTTTTCCAAAACTCTATCTAAAAATAATTTTCCAAAACATCTTTTAAAAAAAACCAAACCAAACATGTTTTCGTACTTTTTATCTCTAAAACACATCTCTCAAACACAAACCAAACATACCCATTAGGTATTAGCTTTTTTGCTTGTCGGTAGAGATGTAAATGGGTGAGGCGAAATATATGACTTAAGAAACACATCAATCCACCTCGTCTAATACCCTCCTATGGATGAATTAATTCTCTAATTTACAGAAGAAAAATGAAATTCAATAACCTATGACAAGTCAAATGGTATCGAATTGATCCAAAGTGACCTTAGTCTATAGAGGTTGAAGATCCAATGGTCAAAGGTGTAAAGATATCTACATGATTTGGAGGGACGGAGAGAACGCTAGAAATTCAGTCGGGGTGAGCATGGTTCGGATTGGTTCAGTTTGGGATAAAATCAGAACCAATCCGTTGTCTACGGTTCCATAAAAATTAGAACTAATCCAATCCATTTAAATTGTGGAACTAATCCGAACCAAACCATTTAAACACGGTTCGGAACCATGGTTTCATATAATCTATTGGCAAAGAAAAATCATATAACATTTTCATTTCATAATTTTTCAAAACATAAACATGCATATTGTTTCACCATTAATTTAAACAAACATAGGGTATGTTTGGTTTGTGTTTGAGGGATGTGTTTTAGAGATAAAAAGTACGAAAACATGTTTGGTTTGATTTTTTTTAAAAGATGTTTTGGAAAATTATTTTGAGATAGAGTTTTGGAAAAAGTGATTGATTTGATGTGTGTGAGAGTGAGATTTGTTTGGAAAACTTGTTTGGTTTATAAGTTTTGGAAAATTTTTTTGGGAAAATTTGTTTGGTTTGGTTATTTTTGAAAACTTATTTGTAGAGAAAATTTCCCAAATTTTTTTCAGAAAATCAAACCAAACGAGCCCATAATATCTAGTTCCACAATAGTAGCAGCAATCACCAAATTCAAAAAAAAAAATTAAAATTGATTCCACCATTAGACCATTACAAAACTATATAAAAACAAAAAAAAAACACAACAATAGCAACAAAATTCCATAGCAGCAACAACTTCATAGCAGCAAATTCCACGGGTGTATGATATGAATATAAGAGATATGATAGTATGTATTAGGGGTGTATGATATGAATATAGTCTAAGTTGCATATGGTCCGAATTGGGTCCAATCTTGAACCGTGAAGTGTAATCTGGAACTGATCTACAAAACACGGTTCCTCAAATTTTTCAATCCAGAACCAAACCACGGAGTCAAAAAACTAGTCCAAACCTACTGGATTGGACTGGACCAGATCGGATCAGTTTGCCGATTTTACGGATTCCTTGCTTAGCCCTAAAATTCAAAAGGTATCTTAATCCTGCCCTAGGGCTGGCAATGCTGACCCAAACCCATGAACCCACCCAAATCCGTCCAATGTTTTGCGGGTTTGGACATGCTTGAGTTATATGTGGGTTACAATTGGGAAACCAATTTGGGCTTGCTGTTTTTCTCAGGTTTGAATGGGTTATAATTGGGCCATATTGGGTCCGGCCTGTGATAGTGTACAAGGTCTTATTGGGTTTAGTTGGGAAACTAAAAACCAAAGTGTATAGGATTCGAACCCGTGATGTCCTCCTGCGAACAAATTTGAAGTATATGTGAAGAACCATTCAACCTGGACATCTGTTTGGTTTTATTTTGGCATAAAATAAATTTATATTAATACTATTTTGTGAATTTTTTTTTTAAACAATAAAGAAACCATTTTATTATCAAGTAAATCTTATTAAATTTTCTTTTAAGTTTTTATTTGTTCATTTAATCATCATTAATAAACTAGTAATTGTCTTTTTAAAATTAAATTCTAATCATATGGAAAATGTGTAATTATCTAAAAAAAATTATTATTATTTTTTGGCATCTATTAGGAAAATAGTTTAATAAAATAAACGGGCTTCTCAGGTTGATTTGTCCAACTGTGCCCAATTAAACACAACTCGTTTAAATTCATTTATTAAATGGACTGGTTTGATTGAATTATTTTAATAAACAACCCATTTTGACCCACTCAAACCCGCCCATTTGCCACCTCTAAGCACCACCACCTCCTCCACTACCGTCGCTTCACCACCATCACCACCACAACTTCACCACCGCCACCACCTCCGCTTTGCCACCACCATCATCATCGTCATAAAATATATATATATATAAAATAATTTTTAAAAAAAATAAAAAATAAAAAAATGAAGTAAATGAGTTAGTTGGGTTAATTTGTCCAATCCGTGTCCAATTCAACCCAACCCGTTTAAGGCCCTTTATTAAATGGGCAGGTTTAGGTTGGGTTGCTTTAAATGCATAACCCATTTGGACTGCCCATACCTGCCCATTTGCCACCTCTAATGCTGCCCCACCTTTTTCCTACTATGTTAACTGGCTATATTGTTTATTTGTGCAAGAATATACTTATGACTAAATTTGGTTTTATAATTAATATAATTAGAAATAAACTTGTTCTAAAATCAATAAATTTTTTATTTAAACATATTATATTACCATTGTGATAAGCTGCAGAAAGATAATAACTAATTAAAGTGTTAATATTGATTTCATGTTGAAGGAAATGAGGTCTGATATGGTGTGCCAAATTAAATCATTTTGTTTCTAAAAACTCCTAATCCAAACTCATTTATTTGGGAATAGTTGGCATTAGAATTTAGTCCTAATTATTGGAGGGTAAGGACCAAAAGTTTTTGCAAGTCCATTTAAAACTGCAAAAGCAGTGGTTTGTTTCATTTCCATCAATTGTATTAGAATTTAGAAGTCATATCGTTCATGTCTGCATGTAGCTATGCTGCACACACACTTGTATGCAATGCATGCACGATTAGTGACTTCTCTTTCCAGTTCCAATCAAAATTTATCACGTTTGTTTTCTTTTTTAGTTGTTCTTTAACAATATTCTTTTTGGAATTTTATTTCCTATCTATCCTAAGACTTCTTGTGAGAAAAAACTATAGAAAAAGATTATGTAGAATGAAACTGTTGGTAATAATTTGTTTTATCCATGATGTGCTCCAGTTGGTCTTTCATTATTAAAATCTGGCTATACATTTCACTTACGAAATATGTACGTTTGCATGTATTAATATTATTTCACATTAAGTATCTTGTTGAAATTTTCTATTGATTGTATTCCATTGTAGGCACTTTTGGTTTCAGGTGGCAGTGATGGTCTACTTGTACTTTGGAGTGCGCCCCCTGGTCAAGATTCACGGGAACTTGTTCCCAAGCTGAGCTTGAAAGTAGCTTTCTTTTTATCCCTCATATATCTCCTTTTTTTTTGTCCAACTGCTTAAAATTTTCCCTTTCCTACTGTGGAATATCTGATATTTTACAAATTACTCTGAAGCAATACAATTATTTGATAACAATATTTGTCCACATGTTTTTTTTAATAAGCATTCATTTACATGCAGATTTCAGTGACAATTTTATAAACTTGTGACACGGGTGTCACTGGCTGTTTCGGTGTCCAACATGATAATATTGTTAATTTTTTACTTTAAAATCTCTTGATATATTTTGTGTTGAAAAAGGTCTTCTCTCTTCCATTGTCTTTTGTTTTTTGTTTTGCAAATATAGCATGTAAAACCTCTTTGCTTGCACTTCTGCATTTGATTGTGGTTATAAATGTATTTTTATTTATTTATTTATGAAATGTTGCTCTCTTTTACCTTTCCCTTTAGTTCATAAATAGTGTTGAAATTCTTTTTTACTGTTGCAATGCTTCTTTATGGTGGTGATTTTGTAGAAAATTTAGTTGGTGACATTGTCGTATGCTTAAGACCCTGAGTGTGATGAACTATGACTTTAACACTAAAAAAAATGATTTGTAAAGAAGGAAAATTGTTAAATGGTCAATTAAGGTCTCTTATTGTAGCATGTGTTGATAAGTGACTTCTCATCTATTATTTTCTATTGTTCTTCATTTGTTTTTTCCCTTCCACCCCTTTTTTTAAACAATAAAGAAACCATTTTATTATCAAGTAAATCAACAATACATAGAAAACCTTTTTTGCATGTACTTCTCTATCTGATAGTGGTGCGTATGAATGCTACATAGCTTTTTTACTTTAGTTTGTGATATTTTCAAAACTTACAAATATTTTTATGTTTTAAGGCACATGATGGAGGAGTTGTGGCTGTTGAGCTTTCTAGAGTGAGCGGAGGTGCACCACAACTTATTACAATTGGTGCAGATAAGACTTTAGCTATCTGGGATACAATCTCGTTTAAGGTGCCTTACAAACTTGGTGAAGTTCTTTATTTTTTTCTTTGAAGAGCACTACTTATGATTGGTTTATTTTGGTGAATGCTTGCCTCCCCCCCCCTTCCTTTTGTCTTCTTCAGGAGTTGCGTCGTATTAAACCTGTTCCAAAATTGTCTTGCCACAGTGTGGCATCATGGTGTCATCCTCGAGCTCCAAACCTTGATATATTAACTTGTGTCAAAGACTCACATATATGGTATGCATATTTTTCCTTTATAGTGTCATAGCTTTTACTCCCCCATAAATTCTTTATTCCTTTTATTGAAGTGTCTTGATGGGACAAGATCTTTGCTGCCAACTCCATAACAGTTAGATGAGTTTTGATGAAAATCATGACTCAAGACTAGGTGCCTTTCTTTCATCTCTAAATGGGAAATTTCTTACTTATGGTTAATTTTTTTCACAGGGCCATTGAACATCCAACTTATTCAGCTCTCACGAGGCCATTATGTGAACTTTCCTCACTAGTCCCTCCGCAAGTCCTTGCATCTCACAAGAAACTTAGGGTAAGTAGCTAAGTTTAATTTTAGCTGGCAGTTTAATTTTTGGTTATACTGTAAGTTTTTTAAACAAAACTGTATATTAGATTGATTGAACAAAGAATACATCATTTATATAGAGTACCACTAATTCCTAATCCTACATGAATACATCACAAAGATATATAGAAGCCTAATAGATATAGGACACTTATTCCTAATCCTAGGAGAACACATATTCTCACACCTCCACTCAAACTCAAGGTGTTTTAGCAGAAAACACTGAGAGTTTGTCAAGAAAAAATCGAAACCGAGCAGTGGTGTGAGTCTTAGTGAAAAAGTCAGCAAGTTGTAGAGCTGACGAGACAAAAGGAAGCGAGATAAGGCCAGACTGCAGATGCTGACGGACGAAGTGACAATCAAGTTCAATATGCTTTGTCCGTTCATGGAAGACAGTGTTATGAGCAATTTGAATAGCACTTCGGTTGTCACACTAGAGAGAGGTCGGGGAAGATTGAGGGACGCCCAACTCAGATAAGAGATTACGAAGCCAGACAATTTTAGCAGTAGCATGAGCCATAGCACGATACTCAGCTTCGGCAATAGAACGGGCAACAACAGTCTGTTTCTTGCTTTTCCAAGAAATTAGGGAATCGCCAAGAAACATACAGAAACCAGAAGTAGATTTACGAATACAGAAACCAGAAGTAGATTTACGATCATTAACATCACCAGCCCAATCAGCATCAACATAAGCCACCAAGTCTAAGGAAGAAGTAGAAGAGAATAGCAAGTCTTGAAAGATAGTACTGCGAAGATAGCGAAGAATCCGAAGCAAAGCAGCCCAATGTGTAGAGCGAGGGGCAGAAACAAACTAACTAATCACATGGACAGCATAGGCAAGATCATGGCGAGTAACTGTTAGATAGACTAAGCAACCCATAAGCTCGCGATATAATGTAGGATCAGCTAGAGGAACCCCATCAGTAGTGTTGAGCTTTACATTAAGCTCAATGGGGGTATCAGACAGCTTAGTGTCAGTAAGTCTGGCACGATGGATAACCTCGTTAGCATACTTAGTCTGGGATAGAAAGTAACCCTTGGTAGAAGAAGCCACCTTAATGCCAAGAAAATACTGCAATGGTCCCAGATCTTTCATTTCGAAGGTACGGAAGAGATGCTGCTTGACCTCAGAGATAGCAGAAGAGTCAGAGTCAGTGATGATCATATCATTTACATATAGTAAGAGAGCAACAAAACCAGCCGAGGTATGTCTTAGAAATAAAGCAGAGTCGGAAGCAGAAGAATGAAATCCAAGCTCGGTAACAGCAATCTGAAAGCGATCATACCAAGCACGAGGAGACTGCTTCAGACCATATAGAGCACGTCGAAGATGACAGACGTGGCCAGAGGAATGGTGAAGATCAGGGGGAGGACGCATGTAAACCTCCTCAGTGAGATGACCATTAAGAAAAGCATTCTTAACATCCATCTGATAAAGAGGCCAAGAACGAACAGCAACGACAGAAATTAAAGTACGTACAGTAGTCATCTTGGCAACAGGAGCAAATGTCTCCTCATAATCAATGTCATACTCCTAGGAGAAACCTTTGGCCACCAGACGAGCTTTGTAGCACTCAAGAGAACCATCAGAATGAGTCTTGACTTTGTAGACCCATTTGCAACCAACCAGATTCTTACCAGCAGGTAAAGAAACCAACTCCCAAGTACTAGTTTTCTGTAGAGCAAACAACTCATCCTCCATAGCTTGAACCCAATGAGGATCCTGACAAGCTTCCTTGTAAGATTGAGGTTCTGCAAAAGAGTGAATACCAGACAAAAAGGTACGATAGGAAGCAGAAAAACAAGTATTAGACCAACCCAACCTTTTTGGAGGATGGCGCGCTCGAGGAGGATATCGGTGTGTAGTAGGATCAGAGTCGTCAGAAGCAGGAGGATCAACAGCAGGGGTAGAGACATCTAGTAGATAAGGAGCCTTGCGACGAGAATAAACTAACAACGGAAGAGACGAAGGAGGAGAAGTAGTCAGAGGTAAAGCAGGAGGAGAAGATGGAATAAGCTCAGGAGGAACTATGGAGATGTACTCATCAGATGGGACCTTAGAAGGAAATGGATCAATATGAACCAAATCTTTTTTGGAAACTGGGGCGGTGAGAGGAGGAAGCTGAAAGTAAGATAGACGTTCGAGAAAGGCAACATGGCAGGAGACATAAGGGCGACGAGAAACAGGGTCATAACAGCGATAACCTTTTTGAGTGAGACTATATCCCAAAAAAACACATAGGACAGACCGGGCACTAAGTTTAGTCTTATCTTTACGGGGTAAAAGGACAAAACAAGCAGACCCAAATACACGAAGGAGGGAGTAATTAAGAAGTTGAGAAAACAGAATCTCATAAGGAGACCGACTAGAAAGAAGAAGGGTAGGCATACGATTGAGAAGAAAAGCAGCAGTAAGAACTGCCTCACCCCAAAACGGAGCCGGAACGGAGGCAGAGAGGAGAGACCTAGCTGTCTCAAGAAGATGACGGTGTTTACGCTCAGCTCGACCATTTTGAGTAGGTGTATCAGTACAAGAAGTTTGGTGAATAGTACCCAATTTGGCCAAGTATTCACAGAATTCAGTTTTAAAGTATTCCCCACCCAAGTCAGACTGCAACAATTTAATAGTAGACCCAAACTGTATAGTGACCATAGATTGAAAAGTATGATATATCTGGTAGAAATCAGATTTATGGGTCATAAGATAAATCCAAGTGTAACGGGTGCAGTCATCAATAAAAGACACATAATATGCAGAGCCCCCTTTAGTAAGAACAGGAGAGGGTCCCCAGACATCAGAATGTACAAGAGAAAAAAGAGAAACAGAAATAGAGATACTTTTATTAAATGGTAATGCTGACATTTTAGCAAGTTTACACCCCGACATTCATCAATTTGACTAGGAGAAACTTTATCCAACAACCCTGACTGAGCTAAAGACCGTAAGCGGTCAACAGACAAATGACCGAGGCGAGAATGCCATAAGTAAAACTGACTCGACTGAAAATCTAACTTAAAGGAGGAAAGTGCAGCTGGAGAGGTGGATAAGGGGAGATGCAAGCTTTCGACCACATAGAGATCTCTAATTTTACAGCCAGTCCCAATCTGCTTCTTGGACACCCGAACCTGCACACAACAGACAGAAGAGGAAAAGATAATATCAAAACCAGACGCATCAAGTTGACTGATAGATAATAAACTGACAGATAACTGAGGAACATAAAAAACAGAAGGAATAGTGACAGCAGACATGGCAGAGGGTAAGATAGACCCAACAGATAGAACAGACATATCAGATCCATTAGCAGTATTAATAGTAATAGGAACGGGTGGGGGAGTACAATTTTGAAGTAAGGAAATGTGAGGAGTCATATGATGAGAAGCACCAGAATAAAAAATCCAAACAGAAGAAGGGATACCGGAAGAGGACCCAAGCAAACCTGAAGGAAGAGAGGTAAGAGCGGA